CTTCTTCTTCTTCTTCTTCTTCTTCTTCTTCTTCTTCTTCTTCTTCTTCTTCTTCTTCTTCTTCATCATATTCGTTTTTCTCCGTATTTTTCTTCTATTGCTACTAGTAGTGCTGTTGGTGTCGCTCCTTACCCTGCGCAGGGGTCGGCGACGCGCTGGGAGGTGGTGTCGATAACCTGAAATGTCCTTGAGGTTGTTATACACCGTCGTCATCGTCCATCGGTGACCACTAGGTGGAATAGTGACGGAAGAAAACAATAAGTTAGCCTTCTGTTAACTTCAAGCTTGCCGTACATTTGATCTAGCATCCACCCTTTTCTAGTTCATATGCTATATTTCTTCTCATTTTACTCATTATTTCTTCAACCCTCTTCTTCCCCAAATTTCTCATCATCTTTTTGTGTTTCCTTTCAAAAATGCCCCCTTCGTTTTGTCTCTCCCTTGTTGTACCCTTGTTTTTCTCGCCTATCTTCTACAAACCTATAAATCAAGCAAGTTTGATTTTTTCCCTGATTCAGGTTCGAAAAACAACACATCTTCGCCTATGCGACATTATTGTCCAAAGCTCGGCGAAATTGGTTGAACTTTTCTTGAGGTGCGTTTCTGTTTCTCGCTATTTTTTTACAGGGGGCGTCCGCTAATTCCAAAATTTTTGAGATTTTTATATCAATCGATCCAGATTTATGGGTCGGGAAGAAAACTCTTGGAGGATAGTCCGAAAATCACTCGTTCTTTAGATATATGTCAAAAATACGCTTTAAAAAAAATCAACGTAGAGGGTGCAGATTAGGGATCTCGACAAGAGGCAGAATCCTTGAGGGTGCACGCAAAGAAATGAATAAAAACGTGAATTATTTTTATCGGTGTTTGTTTCCAAAAGAATATAGGTGTACGGTATGATTAGAAGCTTTCTTGAATTATGAATTTTCATGGTGAACAGGAAGTTTCGCAACACACTCCCGGCGTGTCGTCGGCGCGCGACTTTGCAGACCTTGCAGATTTTACAGATTTAGTATAGTACAGTTTACA